TTTATTATATAATTAAAGATAAAACTTATTATAATATATTACATATTTATATAATTAATTTAAAAAAAAAAATTTTTAAAAATATTAATTATTCATAAAAGTAAATCAGAAGAGAATTTATAGTAAATAAGCAGGCAAATTTGCCTGCAAAACTCTACAATCTAAGGGATAATAATTATAAAATAAATAAAAAAAAGAAATAATAATAAAAATATTTTGTCTTTTATTATTTTTTTTTAAAAAAACAATAAATTCATTTTATTATTATTATCATCATCATCATTAATTTTCTTTATTTTCTTTTTGATAGAAGGATTATATCTTAATTTTTATAGTTGATTTTGAAATCAACTTTCAAAAACATCATACAAAACGAACTTCAGACTTTTAAAAAATAAAAAAAATTAAAATAAATATTATAGATAATTCTTACCAAAATGTTTTGATTATTACTTTTCATATATACTTTATTCCTATTTTATGTAGGTTTTTTAAAATTGAAAAATTGGTCCTATGAGAATTAATTAATCTGTTAATAATAGTTTTAATTACAATGAATTCACTAAATCTTTATTAAAATTTGGTTAATTAACCGACCGACCGATAGTATATTTTTTTGTGATTCCCAATTATAAAAATAAGGAAAATCTATTAATAGTCATGTCTGTAGTAATTATCTAAATTTTTGTTAGAATTATAATGTAGATAGATAAATTACCATGACGAAATCATAAAGTTTTTTTTTCAAAAAATATAAAAAAAATGTTTGAAACAAGTAGTGATTTGTTGGGAACAGAGATCGCTAACATGGTATATTTCAAAACGAAAAAGAAAAAAATTACTGTATAATTAACTTATTTGTTGAGTTCTAATTCATATCGAATTTCATACTGTTTGGAAGCTCGGCTTCATTTTATTTATAGCATTCGGTATTCAGATAATAGCATATTCTATTGCCGCACCTTTGCAGACAGAGAAGGTTTGATTTAAGATTTTTATCGCGTTAATTTTCAGTGGTTGGGATGTTAATTAATTGATTTATTGGTTTTTTCAAAAGTTTTATGATATTACCGGGTGGTACGTTCTTTACCATTTTATTAACATGATTGAAATTTGATTTTATCATATTTATCATACGAATAATTTTCAAATAATTATAATAGCGGCACTTATACAATTTGCGCAATTATATCTTTACTGAAACCATGGAAATTACCATTACCTGATAATTTTCAATCTATTTTACGACTTCATCATCCCCGTCAACTACTTGCTACTGGAATGATAATAATTTGGTCAACTCGATTGGCAATCTTCTTGTTTATTCGCGTTTTAAGGGCAGGACATGATTCAAGATTTGATAAAGTTAAAAAGAAACCTATAATATTTATGGTTTATTGGTTATTACAAGCCACGTGGATTTTTGTTACGGGATTGGGTGTTTATTCTGTCAATGCTTTAGTATGTTCATTTATCTTTGCGCATTCATTCTGTTTTTATCATACATTCTTGTTCTAATCTATTAAATTCATCATAATTAGCCTAAAGAAGTTCAATCTGACCTATGTTTGTTTGATCATATTGGGGCAGCAATTTGGCTTTTTGGAATAACTTTGGAGGTTATCGCGGATAATCAAAAGACCGAATTTAGAAACAATCCAGAAAATAAAGAAAAGTTTATAAAATCTGGATTGTGGAGGTGAATACGATTATTATGTAGAAAATTATTTTCTTTCTTTACATCGGTTAATGATATCTGCTACTATTTTTCCAGTCTAAGTCGACATCCAAATTACTTTGGAGAAATTATCTTGGTAAGTAGATCAAATATTTGATTTTGATAAATTTATTAAATTTTAATACATGAAAATTTAAAATATAGTGGTATGGGGTAACTTTACTTTGTTCACCAACAATTACCCAAGTATCTCAGTCAAATCCCGAAATTGTTCGTCCGTTATATGCTTATTTTGTTTGGTTATCTCCTATATTCACAACTTTAATGATTACAAAATTATCTGGTATCCCAATCCTTGAGAAATCTAGTGATAAAAAATTTGGAAGACTTGAAGAATATCAATTATATAAGGAAAGAACAAATGTTTTATTCCCTTGGTTTCCAAAAAACAAAGTTGAATGAATAAATAAAATTATAATTGCAGTTGTAACACAGCCTCTACTTAATATATATATAACAAATGTTGATCAGGCATTTTCACACCTTTTCGATAATGTTAAATAAAGGAAAATCGCGTCCGGGACGTACATTTCGACTTAGACAACGCCGACGCAAAGTTAACGAAAAACAATTAAAAGCCATAAAAAGTGAATATTAATTTAATTGATTAAACGGATTAGATAAACCAATTTTGCTTATAAGTTACATTATATACATAGTTATTCAGGAAGATAATTGGACTAATTTTAGAGAATGGTTAAAACGAAAAGGATTTCCAAAAACGAATTTAACTTTAGCTGAGTTTCAAGGTTTACCCTTTACTTCTTTTTTTATATATATGTTCTTTATTGATACAGTTTTTTTTCTTAATTCTATTTTTTTTCTTTAGATACAGGAAGAGGAATGATGGCAACGAGAAATATTAATGTAATTGGTTAAGTGCTTATTACATATAATTTTTTAAAGCTATTAACATTTATATATTTAGGCTGGTGAAATTATAATATCTGTTCCGAAAAAGTTTTTATTAACTCGAGAAAGCTTGAAAGATCAACTCTCTCGGTATTTTAACAGTAGCATTTTTTTTTATCATTGAAACCTCATTTTGCTTACTTTGTATATCATGTGTAGGCATTCAATGAAATTCACCGCACACCAGTTTATAGCCTTATATTTAATTTTGGAATATAAGAAAGGAAAGCAAAGTAATATATATCCGTATATCGATATGTTGCCTAAGGATTTTGACAATATGCCATTAACTTACGGCAAAGAATTTTTCGATTTATTGCCATATAATGTCCAAGGTAAACTTCTTAAAATACATAATACGAGCAATTCAAAATATATTCACGTGTGTCAATGTCTTCTATAACTTAGTGGACGTGGAATCTCAAAGAACGAAGTTTGAACGTGATTATAAAGGCATCAAAAAATTCCTTGACGTTAAGTTTTAATTAAAGTATTTTGTATTTATGATAGTTTGTAAACTAATTGGGTGGATTTTTTTTCACAGGGTCAACCAGATTTTCAGTCAAAGATTACTCGCGAAGATTATTTATGGGGTTGGCTTTGTGGTATGTTAATGTGAATAGCTTCAATCAAGGGTTAAATAATATATAATTGAGCTGTATATTATTTTATCTCGCAATCTTTATTATTGATCAGGTAAGAACAAATATATCATTAAAATAATTTCGGAAAATATTTGACACTTTATTAGTATTTCCAAATTTTTGTAGTTAATACGCGATGTATTTACCTCGAAAGTAAGAGTTCGTATGATGTAAAAGATCATATTGCAATTGCTCCTTTTTTGGATTTTTTAAATCATTCGCATGAGGCAAAGGTGAGAAATATAAAAATAGATAAAAATGATCCGAGACATAATAATAAAATATTAAATGTCACGCGACAATGTAGATCAAGGGCGAATTCAATCAGGCGACACAATGTTATGAAATAACCACTTTTACCCCTTATAAAAAGGGAAATCAGGTTTGTTTGGATGATATGATATTTGATAATCTGTCATGTCAAAAATAATTGTTTCTTTACAATATATTTTTTACTTTATTTAGGTTTTTATTAACTATGGGCCTCATGACAATTTTTTTATATTAATGGAATATGGTTTTGTTATTCCAAATAATCCTTATAATTATGTATCTCTTGACAGAGAATTTTTTGAAATTTCTCTTCCTGAAGAGACGGAACTCATCAGACAAGAAAAACTTGATTTGTTATTGCATCATGGCTTTTACGGGTAAACTTTTTGTTATATACGATCAATACGTGAATTCACAAATAACCAATTTCTGCTCTTTTTAAACAGTGATTATAGTTTACGGATATCTGAGATTTCATTTAGATTAATGACAGCTTTGCGTTTGCGTGTCATACAACGATTCAATGTCTCGACATTAGAAGCTCAAGGCATTATACGAAAATGGAAAAAAACTATTACAGGATTAACGGAGATTATAAATCCGGAAAATGAAAGATTAATGTACTTTCATCTTAAATTAATATGTGACAATGCTTTGTTAAAATCTGAAACTGTCTTGGAGGCTTTGGTTAGAATATCTCAATTTTCATTATTACGCATTTTTTTATTATAAAGAAATTTAAATTTTTTTCTCTTTGTTGTCATACATAGAAAGTATTTGACGGGACAAGGGTTTCTTTGTCACACACCAAACTACTTTGGTTAGAATCAATTACCATTTTGCGTTCCGTGATCAGTATCATACAAGATTTTCAACAGGAAATCTTTATGTAGTCTCCGCACATGTACTACGTCTTTTGTATTACCTTGTCAAACATTTGAATGTTTGTTTACATCTGCGATTATTCAAAAAAAAAACGTGCCCACGATTTATTACTCCTTTATTATTTACTGCGTATAATTAATTTGGCGCTTAAATGATTTGGTAAATTTTTTTCCTACAATAGTCTGAAACAATACCATAGGATGCGTAAGATGCGCAGTAAGATGCGCAGTAATCTACGTGCATTTGTGGTACAACATAAATAATGTAATAAATTTTTGATTAAAAATATGAGACAGGATTGGTCTTGTAATACTTCTTGTATAAGTGATTGTACTTTTGTAATGACTATTAAATTCACTTATATCCTTTCCATTGGCCGAATCAATAATTCCAAATTGTGGCGGAAATATGCCAAGGCGCCCAAAAAATTTCCCTTATACAGAAACGTAAATTTATATAGTGATATTTTTTTTTTTTTTTTTGAAATTTTTGGGGTGTAATGATTTTTTATTAATAAATTTTTCAAAATTATCATTAGTATTAGTATTTTACTGCGGATATATGTGATATTAATAATTATGCACTATTAATCATCGCCCTTGTTAAAAAACCCCTAAAAACCGGACTGAGAAAAAAAAGAAAAAATCACAAATTTCGTCTTCCCAGAATTATACTATCGTAAGTGCATTTTCTGACCCCCAAAAATTTTCCGTAACAATAATTATTACCCACACCCCTTCAAAAACAACTCCACCTTCCTTTGAAGTTTTCACCCTGACACTTAGTTGTTTTTCTCTGAAGAGATTATTTACCTACTACTCATCTATTATATTGTACAATAATTACTTTTTTTTTTTCATCTCAAGTCAGTTGACACACACCTTCCACTAGTATTTTTACTAATACTGCGCAACTTTGCCAGCAGTTCCATCATTCGTCGGATTAAATTTAATTAAGTTATTTGCACCTTCTCTCCAGGTAAGGACCTTGTTGCTTGACTAGTTTTAGAAGCTTTATGCATATATAATAAATAACATAGCCACAATATCATAATAAATATTTTTATTTAAATACAAAAGGCCACCATCTACTTCACAATTAATGTCCTGTTAAAACACTGTGTTATCTTGCTCTTAACACATTTTAACTAACTTTTCTTGTTCTAATAAACAGCTCCTACGCCTCTTTCTACACATAGTTTTACACACAATGAGTGCTATGGACTTGAGGGTGGGAAATAAATATCGGATAGGAAGGAAGATCGGTTCGGGTTCTTTTGGAGACATTTACCTTGGTAAGTTATTGTAGAAAACTTTTAGAAAATAAAACAATTATGATTATCTTTAATTACGCGTGTAATCTTGCAAATTTTATTCACTTTATTATATATATAGGCACAAATATTATCAATGGTGAAGAGGTAGCCATCAAATTAGAATCCACAAAAGCTAAGCACCCACAATTGGAATATGAAGCAAAAGTGTATAAAACACTTGCTGGAGGTGTGGGCATTCCATTTGTTCGTTGGTACGGTACAGAATGCGATTATAATGCTATGGTTATCGATTTATTGGGCCCATCCTTGGAGGACTTGTTCAATTTTTGTAATCGTAAATTTTCATTAAAGACTGTGCTGTTATTGGCTGATCAATTGGTAGGTATAACATAAAAAGTAGGATTTTACACAATTAAAATAAGTGGTTATATTAATGTAATATAAATAATATATTCATTATATTTAACATTACTTTAATAGATTTCTCGAATCGAATATATTCATTCCAAAAATTTTATTCATCGAGACATCAAACCCGACAACTTTTTAATGGGAATTGGTAAACGTGGTAATCAAGTTAATGTAATTGATTTTGGTTTGGCCAAGAAATATCGGGATCCAAAAACACACTTACATATCCCTTACAGAGAAAATAAGAATTTGACAGGAACAGCTCGATATGCAAGTATTAACACTCACTTGGGAGTTGGTATGTATATGATAAATAATGAATTTTATAAGTGATTATAAAAATTTTTTACTTAGTTCTTTACTGTATATTATTGCATTTGTTATTTTCAAAGAACAATCCCGTCGTGATGACCTTGAGTCACTGGGATATGTAATGATGTACTTTTGTCGTGGATCTCTTCCATGGCAAGGCCTTAAAGCTGCTACAAAGAAGCAAAAATATGATCGTATTATGGAAAAGAAAATGACCACACCTACAGAACTCCTTTGTCGCACATTTCCCAATGAGTTTGCTATCTATCTGAATTATACACGGTCTCTTCGATTTGACGATAAACCTGATTATAGTTATCTAAGAAAATTGTTTAGGGATTTATTTGTTCGTGAAGGTTTTCAATATGACTATGTTTTCGATTGGACAATTTTTAAATATGTTTGTAAATCATTTATCTTATAATTTATTTGATTATATTGTATTATTTTAATTTTTACATAATTCTATTACATCCTATAGGAAAAAGATGCGAATAAAGTGCATAATAATAATATTAATATGAATTTACCACCACCAAATCAGGATGATCCAAATGCTGCTGAAGATGATCAAAAACAACGTCTTGCTTCAAGACAATTGATGAATGTAAATGAACCCATAACAGCAACATCGCGCCGAGCTCAAAACAAAACGAACTATGTTGTTGGTATGGGTGGTTCACGACCTGTTCAATCATCTCAGCAAACAATTCCAGTTGGCCCTTCTTCACGCTCAACACAACAAAGACGTAATCCCAACAAAGATGTTATTGTTCCACCTGTACCTTCGGACCAAACATCAAGACGTAATCCCAAAGATGTTATTGTTCCACCTGTACCTTCGGACCAAACATCAAGACGTAATATCAACAACAAAGAGGCTCCACCTGTACCTTCGGACCAAACATCAAGACGTAATATCAACAACAAAGAGGCTCCACCTGTACCTTCGGACCAAGCAGCAAGGCGTACTAACAATCCTGTTCCACTTGTACCTTCGGACCAAATACCAAGGCGTATTAACAATGGTCCACCTGCAACTTCGGATCGATTGTAGGTTCGCTGTTTCTAAATTAAAATTAAAATTTTGAGGTTTACTAATATTTGATATCTAACTATAATACAGACTTCGTAGCCAAACCAAGAATAACCCACCGAACTATAATATGAATACATTCCGAGTTAATAAGAGAGATGATACATCCGGTGGAAATAGCAATTGGTATTGATAATGGACATTATCAAGTTGTCCTCTCAATTATAAATGTATGTTATTTTTACGAACAATTTTAATTTTTCCCTTATCCTTTATTTTTTTGTGTATATAAATCGTTATATACGCTACTCAATTTTCTTTTCATATATAAAAACCTTTTTTTATTCCTTCCTGTTTTTTTTTCCTGTTATAGAATGTTTGTGCTTTTTTGTAATATGTTTAATAGTTGACATTCATGTGGGTTTGCTTTAATGCGAGATTTATATTCTGTCTACAAAGGAAAGTCAGTCAGATCGAAGGGAGGGACACTTAAAAGAAATGAAAACTGCGAGGCGGAATTCTAATAACTTTTATAACTGTATTTGAAAACCTTGAGCGAACGATCTAATAGATCTGCTACAAGGCAAGAACATTTTATTTTTGCAAAGGAGCGGTGAAATATACATACATATATATATCTTTTTTTTCTTTTTTTGTTTGATAATGTAGCATTTTAGATAATAGCACACAATATTATACTGGGTGGAGCTGTGAATTTAATAGGCATACAGCAAATTAGCAAAAAAAAAACCCCACATTAATTGATTGTAGAAATATATATATATAAGTTTATACGATAGTTTTTGTTTTTTTTTGTTTTTTTTTTTTTTTTTTAAAAAAAAAATGGCATTTGAATATTCATTCCTTTATTGTATGGATTTTCTAAATATTGTGTTCATGAATTTTACCATTTACATTCCCTTTACATAGACTTATTTTTAATTTGAAATTTTTAGGAACAAAAAAAAAACAATGCCGAGTTATAGAGCTGATAATTTAAAATATTCTATACTCGAAATGTATTTTCTCGAAAAAAATCAACGATTTCATTCCCATTTTCTTGATAACCATTCAATTTGCCATCATATTTCTTTTAAATAATCTTTTTGTTATAGTTATATGCCTTTGATTTCACCTGAAGTTCAGTAGAAACGAATTTTGTAGTTTTTCTCAAATTTTTTTTAAATATACAGAAACTTGCTTATATATATATATACAATATTATTCTCTTTGTAACTTTTTTTAACTTTTTTTTTTATATTAAAAAACTGTTAATTTTACGGTTTCACCTTGGAAAAAAAAAATTTTTTTTTGTAATCTTGTGAATTATTAAAATCATCTTTTTGCCGAATATTTCAAGTTTTACTTATTTGGTAATTATAGATTCTTTTCTTTTCCTTATTTTTATTTCTCTTCTTTTCCTTTTATTGATTCATTATATGAATTGCTGTAGGACAATGATAAAAACGATTTACAGTTATATTCTCAAATACCAAGTTTAGTTTAGCCTTGTCCATTTATGTTATATTTTTTGCAATTTGATTATTTGGTTTTACCAATTAGACCTTTTTTTTTTTTTTTTTTTGTTTATTATAAACTTATGAGATTTTTAATGCATTATTACTTCAAAAAACAGAATAATAATAATAAAATGTATATTTATATAATGTTAGGAAAAGCAAAGCTTTCAAAGTTTACTAAGGAAAATTGAAAAGTCCTCTTGTTAGGATGATTTCCATTAAAAGAAATTTTTTACCTGATAAGCATATTTTTATTATTTTCCACAAGCAAAAAAAAATTAACAAATATATATATTAGGAACGGAAACCCTTGTTAGGTCCGGAACACAAGTGTAACGAGAGAGACCAATCACGTATCGACTCAAATTTTGAGCGGGACATCGATCATTAAAGTGTCCTGTTAGTAGTAGTATATGTATATGTATAGTCCTTTCACTTCGTTCCGGACTAATAATATCAATGAATTCAATCAATTTTTTCAAAAAAAAAAGTATAACTGTTTGGTCGCGTTAAAGGAAGGACCCTTGAATTGAAAAACTTATTTTCCGTTATTCCGTTTGGAAGAAAAAATTTATCAGAAATTTTCTAATCTCCTTACAAGTTTTTAAACTTGAAAATTAACGCATGAATGCTTTTTATATACTTCTTTTTTTTTATTGAATTTTTAGGGTAAAAGAATAACCCTCTTAAAAAAATTGACGAGGGTGGCTTATGTTTGTAGTACAAATCTCAATCTAGCATAACAAAAAAAAAATTTTACGATAAAAAAAAAAATTTTTTTTTTCTTCACGATTAAAACTTTGCAATTTTATTTTTTTTTTTTTTTTTATTAAAATGAATAGATTTACAGCCAAATCAATTTTTCATCGTTTTAAACCATCAGGTTTTTCTATTTTACAACAACAACGAACAAATTTTATTAAACCAACATTAAAAGTTTTACCTTCTCTTTCTAATTCAAGAATTTTTATTACTTCTCAGCAGAGATTTTATTCTGCTGAAGGTGGTCTTTCTCGTCAAACTATTGAAGCTAGAATTATTGATATTCTTAAAGGTTTTGATAAAGTTGACCCAACTAAGGTATTATCTTTTCGTTTATGTTTCAATAAAATGAAAAAAAAATTTTTTTCTACGACTTATTAATTTTCTTGCGACAAATTTAAGGTTACTTCTGAATCACGTTTCACCGATGATCTTGGATTGGATAGCCTAGATACCGTTGAGGTTGTTATGAATATTGAAGAAGACTTTTCTATTGAAATTCCGGATAAAGAAGCCGATGAAATTCGGTCAATCAAAGATGCTGTGGATTATATCGCTAAACGTGAAGATGCTCATTAATGATTAATTCTTATTTTTCACTTGGAGTTATTACGATAATTTTTCAAAAAATATATATATTTATATATTTATTTTGTAATAAAACACCATTGAAAAGGAAATTGGATGGGATTTTTTTTTAAACAAAAGGACTTTTTCGGTTTTTTTTATTTCTGTTTTCCTTTTTTTTTTTAGTTTATTTTTTTATTTTATTTTTTTTTTTTTTTGTAACAGAAAAAGAAGAGAAACAAATTGAAAAATTCGGTTCTTACGTTAAATAATACAAATATATTTAATACAATACAGATTGAGTGTATAATCCTATCTCAACATTGTTCCATTAATAGTAGCTATAATTGCACGAAATGTTTTATATGTAATTTAATAAACATTTATAAAATTTCTACAATCTAACTTTTAATACAAACAAAAATATTAAAAGGTATTTCTGAAAATAATTATTCTTTTATAGCCTACTTTTTCAAATGTCTCTCTTCCAAAGTTGTAAATTAATTAAAAAAAAAAAAAAAAATGTTATCTTTAACACCATGTAAAGAATGGTGTTCCTCCTTTAACAAGTTCTAACTTTTCAACGATGACATGTTTAGTCCTCTTTTCTTCCAAAGATGACTTACCCTTGTTCCTACTCCCACTGTCAAAGGTGAATTTTTCTTTGAGGCGATCACTCCATCTTTGCTTAGATGAAGTAGCAGAAAATGAAGATGCGGCAGGTGCACTAGTTGATAATGAAGAATCATCTCCAGATGAACTACTTCTTTGGTTCGGTGGAATAAAACTTGAAGAAATCTCTCCCCTTTCCACATTCACAGTTTTTGGCAACCCGGGACCTCCGCGACCTCTACCAGAGTTAATATCAATGCCATTGGCATTACGATTATTTACATCGTGTTCTAGTGGAAGTTCTATAGTTTCTACATTATCCCACACCATTGCATTCTGTTTTTCACAAAGTTGAATTGGACCTTTATCAGGCTGTTTAAGAATTTCAACTATATTCCATCCCTGACCCTTTAATACCGCAATCTGTTTTTCAAACATACTCGGTTCAAAATCAGCATCCAATGAAAATAGACGGTGAAGTTCATTAACTGTCTCTTTCCACCATTTAGGATTAGAAAGCATTGAAAGAAAATGATTTCTTGTATTAATAGTAAATGGTTTTCCAATAAGGGCTTCAGGAAGATAAAGCCATCCATATGGATAAGATCTCCATTGATCCGGATGCTTAAAAGGAAATGCTAATCCATTATCAATAGCTGCGACATGTATATGTGGGTATGGTATCTTGGAATTTTGTGAAGAATTTAACACGGACTGTGATTTCGAAGGAGGAGGTGGATCAGATGATATAGACCCTAATCGTATATCCAATCTATCTGTTAATGCTTGATTATCTGTGTGAGAAGATGGCTCTGAAAATGGTGAGGAAGGTTCACTGTCATCCGGCGATAGTGGTGGTGGAACATCTCCATTTGTTCCTTGAGGAGGAATTGAAATGGTCTCATTTCTTTTAGGATGTGTCGATGCGTTTTCTTTTGCTGAAATATCCGGAACTTTCATAACATTCGATGCAGGCGGAGTATTAGTGATACAACCTTGTTCATCCTTATCACAATATTTAACCATCCAATTATCTGAGCCTCTGTCTATAATAATTAATAGATAAAATAAAAATAAGGATAAATTTGTGTTCATAATTTTCTTTATTTTTTTTTTTTTTAAAAAAAGGAAAACAATTACCGGTATTTCTCATTAAATAATCCAAAATAACTAACTTTTCAAACTGTTCTCGAAACTGAATTTGTAATTCTGGTGTCCATTTAAATCGTCTTCCCAAATGATGAGATTCAGATGATAATCCTTCCTCGTCAATTATCCCAGATCGACCACAAATAAGCGCGTTTAATGGTCGATGTTGTCTATCATCGATAACCACACCACTATCAGTTAATGTCGTTGCAGCATTATGATCAGGCCAAGGGTGTTCTCTCAAAAATACATTAGCGTCTTTGAATCCATCCAAAAACACTTGAAAACTACCTATTTTTTCAGGTAAAGGTTTTGGATTTTTCTTTGATTTAGCCGCGCGACGGTCCAAATAATCATAATGAAACGATGGAGAAGAAAGCCGGACCACTTCCGTAACTGGAACGATGTTTAATAACAAACGGTGATCTAAAAGAGAAGCGGCAGCTTCGGAGATGTAACCAAGATTTGGAATTAAACTTTAGAAAATTATTAATAGTGTAAATTCATAATTTGGTTAGATAATTATTTTTTTTTTTTTAAAGAAAAAGAGGTTTAATTGTTGTGATTCAAACTCACCAACTTCTTCCAAAAAAGCAAGGGAATAGATTTCTATGAATCCATTTTGTCCATTTGGGATTCAATTGTCCATATGGCTCTTCATTTTTCGGTTTAAATACTCCAACAATTTTTCCATCTGTGTTCCGACAAAAATAAGATCCAGAAGAACCTTGAAAAATTCTTGTAGGTTGAATATTTTTAGAAATAGCGGATTTGACAGAATCCACGATTTCAATAAACTCTTGTCTCGTTAAAGGTTTTTTATGATTTGAAGTCAATGGCGGTGCACTTGGCTATATCATGTAATGAATCCGTCATTAAATTGAATGAGGTAACAAACAAATTAAGGAACCTTTTTATTCATTTTATAAATACCTTCCAATCCTGTAAGGTATGATTGAAAACTGATTTGTAAATTTCCAATTCTGCCTTATCCAATTTCTCTTTTCCTTTTAACCCAAACTTTTTTGAAAATTGAGACCATGCACTACTACGATCAGTTCGTTGAGTATTGCTATTATCATCATCTATCGAATTTCCAGGTGAATTGATATCGTCACTGTTTCTAGTATTATCATGTTCACTTTCATAAGGAGTGACCATTTTGTAGCTTGAATTTTGAAATTTTTGTCCCGTTTCAGACAATGAACGTTTTTGATAACGTTGTTTATGATTAATGTATTCGCCGTTATGACGTTCGTGTTCTGATATAGTGTTGAACATGGATTCGCCTTCTTCGTTAAAGTCAGGTTCTTGCTGAAGTTTTATGTAATTATTTGACCTATTCATTTTGTTAATTGAATTTAAAGTTATGTTATACAAGATTAACTTAATACTAAAAGGATTTCACTGAAAAAGGGTTTATGCTTAAAAAATCGATTATGATATGTTATATTGACGCTTTTTTTTTTATTTTTTATTTTTTATTTTATTTTATTTTATTTTCTAATGAATTATTAAAAGAAAGAAACCATAAAATTCTAAAAAATGACAATGAGAAGAAATTGATATATTCTATTTTTATAAAATTTGATGCAGTATCCATCCTTTTATGGTATGAATAGGTATAAAATATGCGTCAAAAAACATGTTCGAACGTCACGCATATTGTATCCAAAACGCGTACGAAAAATTCCTGAAAAATAGGGAAGAATGAAAAGATTGAAATTTGAAATAAAAAATATTACCAACCGATTTTCCGAGATGTAATAAAAAAAAAATTGTCAAAAAAAGGATTTTAGGATTTTCAGTTAGACAATAAAAAAAAAAGGGAAAGAAAAGCTTTTGATCGACAAATAATACTATGTGGCTGTTATAGGAAGTTGAAGATGTGATGTGATGTATTTATGATCAATTCCGATAATTTAACTTGTTTGATTGATGATATATTACACAATGTTTGTTAAAAAGCCGAGTAAAGATAATTTTGGGCTTAGGGACGAAATCATCAACTTTAAATCACGTGACATGAGTCAGGCTCAGCCCAGGCGTGACTTCATGCCAAAATCTTTTTCCATCAGGAACAATATGGTTCGAATATCATCATCTGATAGCATTGTATTGATGATACCACGAAAATGAAGGAACTCATATTCCGAATTGGGAACAATTGATAAATCGTGAGACCAATTGTGAGACCAATTCTGCAAAATAATAATGTATTTCATGTTAGATCGAGATTACAAATAAAAATTTTCAATTTCCGAGATTTTTTTTTATTCAAAATACGACATGATGATGAATAATTATATATCTGGAGGTAGTGATCCGAATTTCGGAGACATTACGTCATAGCACTTTATACTGCGGCCGAACATTGTGGTTGAGTAATGAGAATTTGCACTCGGGAGGACTTGGTGGCGACAACTTGCATTATTGATAATATAGGGCAAAGGGCGTCGTGTTGAACTCAGAGGAAAACTAATCATTTCTTCATTTTTTTTTCCTTTGTGTATGTGTGTTGTGTGTAGCTTGGCAGAAAAAGGATTTTTGAAGAATAAATACCACAAGAGTAAAATCATCAGGTTTTTACTAAATCATGTGTGGATGATCATATCATAAATTTTCACACACTATCACAGCCGAAATTCATTTGATTTGCAGATTTTTTTATCTTTGAAAAAAAGATTTTTTTTTTTCACGTTTTTTTTTTTGATCCGATTGTTTGGATACAGTAATAAAATTTAGGAAATTACTAGAACTACAAAATTTAACTAAAATCCGATGTTTTATTTATTAACTCGTTTATCATATTTGTAATACATCATACTTGTATATTTAAGTCGGAAAGTGTTTTGTTCCACAGCCCTAAAAGCCAATCAAGTGTTAACCAATCAAGCGTTCGTGTTTATTTGCTATTTCAACACTTTTGGCACGACTTGACGTCCTATTTTCAACCTTTTTTTTTTTCCTCAGTTTGATTATTCCTTCACATCCATCAATCCGTTTTTTTTCTTCAAGTTACTAAATTTTTTTTCTTAAGCGGAAAAATAAGAAAGGATTTCTTTTATATAATATAATATTATTCATCATCACTTGAAGTGAAATCCGCTTATTGTTTCGCCTTTGTCAACAAGTCTGAAAAAAAAAAAAAAAAAAAAAAATTTTTCATAATATTTTCACATTTAACCTCCTCCCTCTTTGTCATATATAAATAGACTCAAAGTAAATAAATATTATATATTAAATTATACATATTTCATATAGATATCTTTTTCTTTTTTTTCTTACATTTTGTTATTATTATTATTATTATCATTTATAATTATTATAAAAAAAATAAATTTGTATTACACTTTCCTTTACTTCTCTGTAATCTATTTTCTTTTTTTTTTCTATTATTAATATTGGGCTATAAAAAGTTCTGGTAAACAACATAAAGCCAAAAAAAAAATCTTATAAATAAAACATTATTTTTTCTTTACCTTTTTTTTCCTTACACCTTTTACAAAAATCTATTATAATCAAATTCAAGAACTTGTTGACATTTCGCATCTGACAAAACATAACCATGACTTTGTTTTATACTCAACCTATTCGTTCTTGTACAGAAAACTTTAATAATATCCCTCCGCGATCTTCTTCTGTCTCACCTGAAAAGTCTTCAAGCAAGGAGACAATTCCTCGTATGTGTACCACTTCTCCGCCATCTCCATCCTCATCTTTTAACGACAAATCTTGCGATCTACCCATCGTTGCTCCTTGTCCAAAAAAGGCGTTGTATGCTTACGCTGGACACTTGTTGAACAATGGGTTTCCTTCAGTTATGCCAACGTCACAAAACCCATGGGGGTTGTCTGCTGTGCAAGAGGTCATTGAGGATGATCCTATGTTTGATCCTGTTGATCTTTTAGAAACGATGTTAGTATTGATTACCTACCTTGTTGTCAAAGAGAAAACCCATCTTATCAATTAATTCGTTAACAATCAATCTTATTATTCTTCTTTTTTAACCATATTAGGTCTGATGAAGCACTTGCTTGTGCAGAGCTAATGGAGATTATGGGTAATTCTAGTCGTGGTTCTAGTCGACCAGTTTCTCAATCTGGTTCTCCAGATCGTGTTCATCATGATCGTTCATTGTCTCCACCATTAAATCAAGATGAGGAAGAAGAAAATACTAAAGATGTAAATAATACTATTTATTCTCCTTATACTCGAGCAATTGAGATTGAACAGATTCGACAGAAACCGGCACCACGTCCTATACGCTTGGCCGTTGATAACTCGCATTTATTATTCGGTTCTTCCCCAATTACTCGTGCTCATAATCCTTTACCTATGGATTCTTGCTTTTCTCCAAGCAAACGTCATCATCATCAATCTCAACCGTATCCTTCGCGACCAACTCTTCATCAAGCTACCAATATTCAGCGTAAATTATGTGATGCCGTTGCCGATATGCATGTTAGTGGAGGGTCCTTGGATGATTCTTCTCAACCTCCTCCTTTTTCCAAAGCTTCTAAGGCTACGATTTTGTTGCGTATCTCTGAAGGGGGTCGACGCAGATCATTATCTGTCGGGAGCGCCGGTTTTAAACCTAGTAACAAAATTATTGGTCGTGTCTAGGATCAATGTTTTAATTTCTCACTTTCCCATAATTTTTCAATAATATTCTTTACATTTGTATATATTTGTTAACTTTTTTCTTTGCACATATTTTTTTCTTTGCTAATCGAGCATTTATTTTTATAATATATTTTTTTTTGCGTAGTTTTTTTATATATATATATATATAAAAAAAATGTTAATTTGTACACAAATGTCTCTTTTTTTCTTTACGTATACACAAAAAAAAAAATTCGTTTATAATATTAGCATTTATATATATTTTTCATATTCTATAATTTATTCTTAATCAGTCATATTATATCGTATTCTTTACAATTTAGTATTTTAGTAAAGGACGACGATATCATCGTACTTGTGATGATTGTTTATAATAGATCAATCCCTTTTTAATATGACTGGATCATTTTCTCTTAAATACTTTTCCTTTTTATTTTTTCTGTATCTTCCTTTTTCTTTATACATTAGTTTTTTTGTCTATAATTTTTTATAAAAGAAGTTTTTTTTTTTAGAGGGAGTTCTTTTTTTTCCAAAAAAAAAAAAAAATTTAATATATGCATAATTAAATATATATTAACTCGTCATAATTAAATAAAAAAATATATATGTAAATTTTTTTTTTTTGTAAAGTTTTTTAAATGTGTTACAATAAATTATTATTCATAATTTCGACCAGAATTAACCGAAAAGTTAAGTTCAAACTTGAAAAACGTGATAAAATTCATTATAAACGCAAATTATCACGGGTTCACGTCGCGAAAATTTGACATCTTGACATAATCCATTGTTGGTTAGCCTTTTTTAAAAAAAAAAAAAATTTCTCATTCAATTTTGCAGATGTCAATCAAATTATTCGCTCCGCGTTTTTTTTTTTTAAAAAAAAACCTTAATAGGTCACGTTCTTTTTTTTTTTTTAAAAATAAAAAAATTTTTTATTTAAAGAAAAAAATTATAATGGTAAATAATAATATATTATTATTTAATTTTTTACCATTTAAATTGTAAAAAGTCGCATGTTAACGTAAAAAATAAAAAGACGGGGGGTTTTAGATATTCGACTTTGACTTAATAAATCGATACCCTTTTTTTTTTTCAATCAAATAATACCGTGAAATTCCATGAAATACCGTTAATTCCTATCCACTAACTAAAAGGTTCAAAAAAAAACTGAGAATGGACAAAGCTCCCCGCCTCTAAAAATAAAAACGCGCATTTTAGTCCAAATAAATCATGAACCGATCGGTAAATTTCTTTGATGGCGCAGTACGTTTTAATGAAGAAAATTTAACATTAAAATGCAGTGCATTCCTAGTACACCAAACTTGAATGTATTCAATGTAATCATGCAGAAAAACTGAATAATGATCTACAGTCTCGCCTTAAATCGGCAATATTCTGTGTGGTCAATATCTTTTTTTTCTTGTTTATGTACAAACATAAACATTATCTATCGAACTATAGCAAGGATCTCGTAATAAACTTGACGATACATATCATAACCTTTTTGATGTTGAGTCACGTCCCACTGCGAAAATAAAAAAATTTTTTTATCGATTATAAGAAATCTTTTATGTGGTGTTGATTAGCAAATACACATATACCGCGCCACTCATCCTCCTACGTAACATATAAAAGGCCCACTCAACTGAAATTTTCCTGCTGTTTCGATATTCATGATGTTATGATTCTACATTGAAGCGAAAGCAAATGTAAAAATCACGACATAACTTATGTTCCAAGATTTCAAATGCTTTGTTAAATAATAAATCAACACGTTCCTTTGATGTTCATTTGAAAAAAAAAGGATTAATTCTTACTAAGAAAGGTTTAAGCTATCTTTTGTTATAAATAAACCTTATATAGAATATAGATGGAGGTTCATTCGTACCTTATGATTTTTCTTTCCTTTTCTTTTAATCTTATTTTTTCTATCGTCAACAATTCCCTTTCGCGTTATGATGTATCCAATTGGGACCTTGAATCATTTTCTCTTGTAATGTGTATCTAGTTTTTTTATTTTTTTCATTTTTTTTTTTTTTTTTTCATTAAGTTCATTATAGATAAAACGTAAAACAATATGATCATTGTTATCTTACCCGATGCTCCACGTGATCGACACACATAAAGAATAATTTGGCCATTTAGCCATTTAGTCGATCAAAAAAAAAAAAAAAAAAAGTTATCAACTCACATTTAAGACAATCGTTTAAAATTAAGCCTTATGCCATTCTCATTTGTGATTAACACGTTAAAAAACTAAAGATCGTTATTAAAAGGTTAAAATATCAAAAAAAAAAAAAAAAAAAAAAAAAGAATCAAACTTACGCGAATTAGAAAAATATGTAAGCCAAATTTCTTTGAATTCTTGAATCCTTTTTCCCACAATCCTACAATTAAAATAATAAAAATAATTATATGAAGATCTATCATTCAATTGCGCCAACAGATCTCCATCTTAATCTTTACTCTTTTTACCATCACCCCTCCCGTAAATTCCTACTACGCCGGTAGCACACTTCTTAAGACAGCAAACAAAAGGTGAATCATTTGACATTTCCGCGTGTTAACACGCTCTTTATTACCTTAAAAAATCTTAATTAATAAACCTTTATTTACAACCAAAACAACTTTTTTTTTTCATACAGAACGAGAAATACGAAATCCTGACAAAAACAACGCCAAAAAAAAAATATATATATATAATAAGTTGGAAATCTTAAGTTCATATAAGTTGGCGTTGTTTGTATCAGGAACATAAGTAAAATTTTATGAAAAAAAAAAAAGTGCTCCGGTTGTTATTTGTAAATTATGGGCATATGAATAATAAAGAAATTTTTTTTTAAAACATCTAAATTAAAAAGGGAAGTGGTGAATAAAAAAATGTAAAGTAAAAAATCACTTTCAGTATTTAAGTGGATTTTAGCAAACCAAGAAAGGAGTAATGAATATTATAAAGGAAATTGAAAGGGGAAAGAGTCCTTAATTAAAGCATAAAAAGAATAATAAAAAATGGTGATATATATGGTATGCCCCCGCAATTATATATATATATATATATATATCATAGAATCTTAATTAATAATCATAATCATATAATCCCACAATAATTTCCAAAAAAAATGTCCAATATCCCCAAAATATGGCATATAATAATTGTGATTTGTGATTTAAATTACAACACATCTACCCCGCCAGCCCCACTGTACCCGCTTTTTTTGTTCGAACGCGTACTAGAAATGGACGTGACTGGGCTGGGTTCATCGTCAACTGCCATAATTTCATCACCACTTCCGGTTTGAGATGGCACGTGATTTTCGCCAGATTCCTGACGTGTCTGACCAGTAGTGTTTTGTTGGTTCAAATTATATTCGGCGGCATTTCTTCGGAAAATTTCCATAACAGGTCCTAAAAGACGAACGAATGCATCTCTTCTGAGAGCTGCTAAACGTACGGGACCTCTTGAAACAACAGTTGCTTTACGTGGTTGTTCATTGAGAAGTGCGAGTTCTATTCGAATAAAAGAGAAAAGTGATGGGAACAAAATTCAATAAGTATCGTTTTTTTTCTTTTGTTTTATATATATATATATATATATAAGTATTTTACATTGATTACCTACCACCAAAATAGTCGCCAACAGTAAGACTTGGCAATTGTTGTTCAGTTCCCATATCGGTAATCTTACTGACATTAACTGAACCTTGTTCGATTATATAAAAATATTCGCCAGGATCGCCCTGGCTTATGATGGTATCACCATCCTCAAAATTATTAGGTTCTAATGCGTCAGCAAGTTTAGAGAATTCGGACTGGTCTAATGTTGTAAGGAACGAAACGGATCTTAGAAATTCTTCATAAGCTGAACGTTTTCGATAAACGCTGCTAGTAATGGTAAGTAAAAATGTTTCTCTGCCAACAGCCCACAAGGTTCCGTCTGTTTTAGCTCTTACTGTTGCGGCACGTGGTGTCTATTATAACAGATTAGACATAAGATACTTATTTTTGAAGTCCTTAAAGAGTACAAAGGAATGTTATACTTACATTGTACATTAAAGCGAGTTCTCCAAAGCTACCTCCATTTCCAACTTCTAAAACTAATTGGCCATTGACAAAGATTTCGAATATACCATGTTCAATGGCATAAAAATAGTCTCCTTCGTCACCTTGTCGAATTACGATATCATTTGCCATTACGGATTTTTCGAACATTGCATCAACCTAGATCACATGACAGAGGTTTAATAAATACGTCATGTGATAATAACACGTAGAACACGAGGTACGGAAAGGATACTTACAACATGTTGCTTTGTTTCGCGATCGAGATTTTTGAACAACAGGTTGAGAGTAGTAGCTTCATTAATTCGTTTTTTTGCTTCATCGGATTTATAAATTATTTTACGTTCATTAATATTTGCTGTTGGTGTGATGGATTCGGCACTGACAGACATACGACGTCCCTTCCTTGGGGAAATGGCACGGGAATGATTGTTTCGCGCGGATTGAGGTAATTGATGGTTGTTCGGTGGTGAAGGAGGTAACGTCGTTCGTCGATGATGAACAAGGGTTTCGTCAGTGTGTTGATGAGGTACATACTGATCAAAGTTCTGCCCTGGAGGATGATGTGTGGTAAAGTAGGGCGGTGTTCTGATCTCCATTCTAAAATATTGTTCAAAAGACGTGTAGAAATAATTACCGAGTGAATGAATGGAATGATAAACATTGTATTAAAATGTTTATGAAACATGTAATAAAGTACAAGAAATATTTTTTAAAAAAATAATTACAATGTATCCTCTTCAGAACGTTGACGCTTTCTTCTTTTATTATTATTACTTGGCTCCGCTGTATATAAATGAGAAAAAATTTAGAAATCAAATGATTCATCACAAGATACGATTTAGAAGATCAAATAATAAAATAAAATAAAAATGTACATACAGATTTGCCCGGAAGTAGTAGTTGATGGTACGTTTCGTTGAGTGCCAGCAACACTGTTC